CCCAGAAAACAGCAATCTTAAGATTTATACTCGTTTGAGAGAACACTGTCATAATTTGATTTTATAAAATTATACTTTGCCATATCTATTGAATATACCTACTGCATTAGAAATATACGTGTATGTATAACATTTTGCACATACTGGGGTCATCTGATGATATTTTAAAAGAAACTGCTTGTGATAAATATGTGTGATAGATGTACTTCACTGAAGATGAATATGTCAGAATAAATGTGGTCTCAATGGATTTTAGTTACTGACCTTGAGGTGTCTAATAGGAAGGTGAAAGTCACTTCTAGTATAATACTGAAATATGTTTTAAATTAAATATCAGCAAATCCTCTGTAATGTTCTCTTTCATTTCTGTATTGCATGGTAATGCCGATGCAATTTTTATTGACAAACACTAACAAATATTTTAGCCATTAAAGAAAAGAGACAAATACAGCACTGAGACAGCTTAAACTAATGTGTCTCTCTCTTTCACAAATTACATGTTCACAGCTCAAAGACATTGAACGACTTTTGCACCTAAGACTGGAACTGCTGACCACACAAGTTATTTGCAAAAATCTTCTCCCAGTAAGTGGCCAACATGTGATGACCAATGAGATGAAACACATTGAATGATTACAACATTCACCCTTGAAACATGAAATTTCAATCCAAAGAAAATCAGTCCAAAACTGGAAGTGATATTTATGTGACAGTGATTGCCAGATATCACACTGCTCTAGGAGGGATGCATAACAAGTTTTCTACACAGCATTAGAGTGTATTTAGTACACTGTACAGAAAAAGAATAGAAAGAACTTGAAGAATAAAAATAATGACAAAGCAGACAGCAAAATAATAAGCAAAACACTTCACTGTGGTTTTGCAGAACTTGTAAATGAATAAATGTAACCAGGCATGTAACCAAGAAGTAATTACTAAACATAGAATATTTCTGAAGTTCAATTACAGATAACTGAAACTACAGTAGAATTTTAGTAGATACAGTCAGTTTTCTAAGATCTAAGAGATATCTGTACATGCATTCCCATCAGTAAATTCAGTCCATGTTTTACTACAACACATTCATTTACAAATAAGCTGTGGTAAACAATGGGAACTGCTTGAAGTTGGTTCTTTGAGAACCATACCAGCCAAAAACTAGAATGACTTCTCAACTGTTCTATTTACACCTAAGTGAGACAACTATAAAGATATGATGTGACACTTGACAATGTAATAGTCCATGTTCTTAGGCATGAGATTTCATGGTAGCAAGTTATAAACCATTTTGGGGAAATTATTTGTTGAGTTATTTGCTATAAAAGGCATCAAACCATGTATTTAAACAAAAAGAATTATTGTAAATTACTTTCAAAATTCTCATCTTGCCTGCATTAAACTGTAACTTCATTGATAGTTACATCATATTTAATCATAACTTTCCATTATTTGCATTTAATTTAATGTGAACATAACAAAGTACCAAATGAAACAGCCCTATCAAAATAAAATGAACAGGTTCACTCATGTACTGTGTAAACCAAATTAAAAGGTATAAACATGTTTATGTAATTGACTTCCTATTGGAATCAGAAGTGCATTGAGTGTCTCCTACAGTAATACCACACACACACACACACACACACACACACACACACAATTGTATTACCCTTTGTGCTTATATGTATGAAATCTGTCACAGCAATAATCCCCAGTGAAAAATTACACTTGTAACATAACATTTATGTCATAACAAGTGTCATATGGCTTGTGTCAGTGAAAGTAGACTTTGCTATACCCTCATACCCTGACCTATGACTTTCCAAATTGTGATCCCATTAAATTAACATGCATTAGACTTATGTCCTAATTTTTTGACTTACTATTTCAAACTCATATTTCAGACCTTGGAGACAGCTTATTCAGAAAGCCCAAACCCCAGTGACCACTCTTCTGGCATCCTGTGCTAAGCTAAATTTATTGTAAAATCTCCCATAAACAGAGCTATCCTATATGAATTTGGTAAGATGTTGAAGATATCAGATTTTGCTAACATGTTAATTTAATTACTTACAAAGTTTATAAATGCTTTGTTAGCTTCAAAGCTTCAACTGCAACTCTTAGCAATCCATGTTGCAAAACTCTGGTTTCTCACATTGTAAGTCTTTATGGTCCAATATAAGATATTAAATAACCACCTTAATTTTAGCATTTCTAAAAGCTTAAATATTTAATGCTGGGCTGATATTCCTTTATCAATTGTACAACAAAAAATATAATTGTAGTTTAATATGGGATGAAACATTAAAAAAGTGGTTCTGAGAACTGAGCTTCTAGAACATACCATGTTACAATGAATTGGACTTATGACCCATTTTCAAGAATGTATTCAGTTGTTAGTGTGACACATCACTGTGTATGCAATTAAAAATGAATTTGGATTAAATGTATGTGCCAAAATATGAAGAGTGCTAACACGTTATACTGCACAACAAGAAGAATATGGTCTTCTGGGTTGTAACACAATGTAGTTCAGAAGAAGCCTGACATTTCAGAGGAAAATATCTTCTCATTCTTCAGGGTTTAAAATTAAGCCAAGCAACAAACCAGGAAAAAGCATATGGTAAGCAGAGCTTACATGGTGTTACAACCCTGAAGAGTTTATTCTTAATGGTCACCACTGTGAGAACCTCAAACCCAACATGTGTACCAACCATTAATCGCTTTCATTAATATTATACTAAGTTATTTTGAAGTTTCATGGACAAGTTTGAGTATGCCAGATGTAGGATTTCAAACAGCTGAAATGATACAGCATTAAAGTGCATTTTATGTTCAATATATCCTGTGATATAAAGTGCAAGGATGAAGATAAATAAGTTCTATCTATGGAAAAAGAATATTGTGGCATGTAGACCTATTATTGGGCAACCACCGAGAAATAAGCAATTACAGAACAGACGCTGCTAAGTAATGGCTCTTCAAGGAACGGCCGTTGTTAGGCAGTGGTTGAGTAGCAATCATGCAGAAATCCAAGTAGACACAAACACAACAATGGAACATCAAGAGAGGTTCAGTGTTCTCTGTGCAGTCTCTGCCAAGATGTTATAAGCACGAGGAGTTAATTTGTAAAAAGGATCTCTGATTGTGAGCTTCAAGGGGCTTGGTGACAAGGCAACCTGACAAGCCATAAACCGCCACTCACAAAGTAACTCTGACTCTGACTGTTAGAAGTGAAGGGTTGGTTGGTGAGTTAGAGAGCTGCAGTTGCTGTGAGAAGCTGGGGACAGTTTAGGAACCCAGAGGAAGGGGAGCATTCACCACTGGAAGCTGCTACCATGCAATGGCTAGTTGAGACTGTAACAGACTGAGGACACTGGTCTTTGTGTGATAGTGACTAGTAAAGTGTAGTAACGAGTTGTGTGTTTAGGCACCCAATCCGTCAGGCATGTTTGTAGCCTAGATTGGATCGATGGAATTTTACAATAAACTAAACTAAACTAAATCAGATTACAAATCCAAACCCCATCTGCAATCACTCCATACATGTGACAATATAGTGATGTGTATAGTACATAGCATAGTGTTTAACATGAAAAATATTTTATGCATTGGGATGGGTATTGCTTTTGAGAAGGAAATGAACTCATTACATTACATATTACAGTTCTTTACTGAATATAAACTGGATATTTCTTAATAGAACCTTAAGGAAGTCACTGATAGACATTATATGTACAAATATAATCAGCAGTAATGAATTTAAACAACAGAGGTTTTTGTACGTTCTCAGTGTTTACCAAGATACCACATTGAACAAGCAAGCAAATTTTAGTAGGGCTTCCATGAAAGCTACACCAGTGAAAGCAATACTTTGGAAACACTTTTAGATGTTAATAAATATTAACTTTATTCATCTTATAGTACATTATTACAACAAATCTTTGAAATTATATTCATATGTAAAATTTTTGTATATTCTCATCTTCATTATATTAAAATTAATATACTCTAAAAATCATTTAATTTCATTTTAGCATTTCTAAAGTTCACTTTCACTGCTCCTTCAAGGAGAAAATATTAGCAGAAGGGTGAGGCATAAAGGTACATAATCAGTTTTGCATTTGTTTTCAAACTCATGACAAGAACGCAGGTCCTGATTGCAAAACAGTGGTGTTATGGATTTTTAATTTTAAAAAAATTGGGAGAAAAAGTTTTGACTTGAATGTGAAAAATTATATTAATCTGTCTTTAATGCAGTGTAGGCTTATTTAAGAGTCAGCAAGTAATATTAAGACTTGGAAGTAACATCTATAAACAGATCTATCAACTTGTGTATTTAAGATGGACAGGTGCCAACATTTCAGGCAAGTCTCCTGTCTCCATCCTCAATGCAGAAGAGTGAGTCTACTACCAAACCACAAGGCGTCACATTCCAGCAGATCAAGAGCAGAATCTGAAATCCTATTTGGCAGGAGTACGAAGTTCCTCCCATAAAATAAAACAAAAGTTTTATTCTCAGTGTTATTTGACCTTGTTGAAATTAATTAAAATTAAATATTTGCTGGTAATAAAATGTTTTTGACTTTTTTAATAAAACACACAAACATAAGGATAGAGAATACACAAATCACAAACAATACTATTAATGAAGATACTAATTTCCCCCTTAAACAAATGGCATTGTTGAGAATCTGAATATTTTTAGCTTCAAGAATCACAAAGCTAGTGGTCAATGTTTCAAGCCACTAAACTGCATAAAATTAATCTTAATGCTCAGAAAGAAGTAACTTCTGAAACCTATTTAAATGTTTAAATTGAAAGAGCAATTTTTGTTACTCAACACAGAAACTGTGAAGTGTAAATACTTTAGTTGTTGAAAAGTAACAGTCATTCAAGAAGCAGAGCCTTTATACCTCACCCCCCAACAGGAAGCATGAGAAGTTAATGTATCAAACGAGGTTTGTGTTCTATTACTACAGTCATGTGATTCAACTAACTGGTGGAAGCGTGTGTTGAGGCTGCCAGCTGTCATAGCATTCACCGGGCAGAACAGCACCCGCTGCGAATCTCCACGACTAACAAAAACAGACATAACAATTCCTCAGTCAGCCCAAGCTCTCAGCCAATTCCCCTTCCTCTCATTCTTTGTCAGAGTAGAATTCCTCAGTAGGTACATTATCAAAAATAATCCAGCACATTCTTATATGTTTATGAACACATATTTTTGCAATATATCTAAATTTCAGTCTACCATATATTTAAGTTTAGAATGTACTAGAATACTAACTCACAATACTATTAGCTCTTTCTTCTTAGCAACATGTATTTCTTAATTTTCTAAAAATGTTAGGAAAAATTCAGCATGTTTTTGTACTGTTTATATTCTTCAGCACAGAAACAGATAACACAGTGCATGAAACTGACATTTATTGTTTTGAATTATTAACAAACATAATATGATATTTACTGTACTAACAACTTGTGCTTAAAAAATATCATTCACCTAAATTTTCAGTAAAAATTTTGCAGCTTTTCCAATGCATAAATGTTATTAGCATTACTGAAGTCAGTCCAAAAATTCAACATTACTGAGGATCTCCCTCCATACAAAAGTCTCCTTGCATACAGAATAACCAGCAGTGAGCATACAAGGAAAGAATAAAGAAGAAACATTGTTCACATAGGCACTGATACTCCAAACAGGGTTACAGAGGCAGTTTGAAAAAGGGGATGAATGTGTATGATTTATTATGATTCCATCACTATCACATTATTAAACAACGTATTTCTGTTTCTAATAGATATTTGTTGTTAGAGGCTTTCAGTACTACACATATATAAAGGTTGATTTCAGTCTTGTTTAAAATAATTCCAGTTTTTTGAACTAGTAAGTTCATACAGATGGATTCATTTATGGTACAGACGGGTTCCAGGAAAAATTCTTCTGTCATACCCCCAATTAAATCAAATATGTATACTGGCATGCATTGCAATTTGTTGATTCAAGTATACATTACTTAACTGCTAAAGGACAATTTCTAATGCATAATAAATAATGACACTTGCAGAAACCTGTAAACTTCTGGATGAAACATCAGATGAAGTCAGAGCTTTGTTACTGAGGCCCACTATAATTAATACTGTTACTCACTTAATCTTTTACACTTACTTAGTTATAATTTATTTCTTATTAGAAATCATCATCATCATCACTGGTACGACAGCCCTTTGTGAGCCCTGGCCTTCATCAGGATTGCTCGTCATTATTAGAAATAGAATGTAATTAAAAATCATGCTGAAGAGACTATAATTCTCATCTACATATTCTTAATATTTCTAAAAAATCTCTGTAAATAATTTAAATTCCTTTAAAAATATTCAATATAGCATCCTTCACCCTGAAATATTTTTTATTTGAGAATGATATTAAGACGGAATTAAACTATATATGGTTCTAGAAATATTCTGCCAAAATATATTCATGCTCTTTGCAACAGATTTTGCAAACAGGGAAACAATGCAGATCTATGCAATGTGGAAGTGTTACATTACCTCAGTATAAATATGTCAAAATGGAAAACAAGCGCTGATAAATGTGTCGTTCAAATACTTGAACTATAGGATAATTAATTGGAAATGAACAGAATATTAAATGGCTTTGGGGCAGATGTCACATGATATGGAAGCTCAATGTACATCAGAGCATGAAGAGGAAAGTAAATATTTCCTAGAACAGGTATCATCACTAAAACATAACAGATATTAGTGCATATCAGTTAGAAACCTAAATTTTAACTATGTGACAAAAATACTGAAAATTTCCGTCACTCTTCCATGCAGATGTATGTTTGAATTCTGGAACACAATGGGATTCATGAACTTCAGATCTGTGGTACTATGTGGAAAAGGAACATATCCAGTTGAGAGAATACATGAGTTATTTCAAGAAGCCATCCCTGATATAGAATTATGCACACATCTCCGTGTTCCATGGATTTTTTATGCAGCCTTTTGACTTTCCAATAAGAGTCTCCAAATTGTCTGCGAATTGAGATTGTCTTAGAAATATCTTCCACATCATAATATTTATATAAAAAGAAAATCTATTTTTTCATACATTTTACATATATTCAAACACCATCTGATATGATATCCACAGATAGTTTTCCAGTTCTCTCAAGTACTCAAATCTGCTTTTTTCTCTTTTATCTCCCATTAATTATCTAGGATAAAAATACACGTATAACTCAGTTCAGCGAATATTAAGCCACTGTACATGAAATGCCATAAATTTAATACATATATATAAGAGTGATTTATAAATTTTGTTTACCACCAAGATGCTGTGTATATACAGCAAGAAGAAGAATTACACATACTTGCTTTCTGACTGTAAATTATGCAAAACATAATTTGTCTCCTGATTTAATATAGCTAAATTCTTGACAGTGTCCATATAATGCAACCATATAATCACACAGTAGATATGGTCATATATTGGTTGCATGTCACTGATTTCTCTTCAAATCTTCAAAGCAAATGTGCTATAAAGTTGAAACTAACTGTACAATGCTCAGTACTGTTTCTCCTCTTGTATGCAAGTGAATGTAAAGAAATAAACTGTAGACTAGATGAACAAGTAACACTTGCTTTTCATAGGAAGCACAACAAACAAACTATATAAAAAAAAATTTCATCTCCAAGAATACATTCCTATAATGTATGCAGACATCAGTCAGTTTTATTTGAAGTAACAAAACTATTTCATGATAGTTAATCTTTCTCCAGGAAGTAAGTGTTTTCTCTTTCCATATGTATCAAAATTAATTGCATTTCCAGCAATTTCTTTTTTAAAAGAAAATATATTTAGACAAGGTTAAAAAGAATTTTTATTGTAAAATTAAACACATAATGTGGTATTATAAATTAAAATATAGACTTATGGCTAGATCTTAAGAAACTGATGGGATTTAGAGAGCAGCATTAAAGGTTACTACTATATGAAAATTAATGTAAAACTCTTTGGAATAAAATATGGAATCTGTCTAATCCGTAAATGATGACACTTAAATGGAGAAGCAAGACAATTTAAAATGACATTTATCAGTTGATCATTTTGAAAAATTTTATATAAAATTATATATATGAAAAGTATTTTAAAATGTTGTCTGTATTTTAACTGATATATTTATGATATGAAAAATAATACCAAGCAAATAGACACAAACTTAGAAAGTGCCTTATATCATTTAAATGCATACAATCTGTTGTATGTGTCATTTTTCATTTCATCTTCTCTTAAAAGGAATGCTAGACCCATATGAACAAATTTGACAGTCAAAAACAACTAATGACAGTACTTATAAATTCTATGCAACAATATTAACCTTTTATTATAAACATAAGAACACGGAAATAAATTTAGTAATGATGAATATTTTGACAAAAGCTTCATAAAAAAATTATATCTGCTGCATAATGAATGAAGCAGAATTCAGAACAGTTTATGTAAAAATACCTTGCAGTATAATTGAAATTATAAAATATGTCCTTGATTTTAGCATTTACTACATTTATTTCTACAGTTGTGATTTAAAAGCAGAAAACAATACTTTCCAATTGGCTCCAAGTGACCATAACCATTTTTGCAGTGCTAAAAGAGGAAATTACTGTATAGTAGAAGATAACTGAATTTTGTGCAGCAGAATATTACAAATCACCCCTACAGTAGGTGTCAAGTATAATATTAGAAGAGACATTCACCACCATATGCAATTTTCTGCAACATCTTATTCTCCATTCTTCTGAACAACACATTCACTTCTGAGCTTGCTGTATGATATACCAAAATTAATAATGTTGTACACTAGAGCCAAATGAAAAATTTTGTTCATATTATTAAGAGTAATTTCTGATAATTTTCTAACACATTTGCATTTACCTGGTAAAACTGCTAAAATCATTGGTTCATGTCAACATAAATGCAACAAGATCTTCTGAATAAAAAGAATCAATTTTCAAGTACAGCATATGGAAATATAATTCTTCAAAACACCTTAAAATCGTTACGGATATGAGAGGTAAAATATTCAAATATATATGTACTTCTCTATTTTGGTGGCACAGAATAACTAATGGTTTCATATGCAACAATAAAAATGAGATATGTAGCTCTTTGCAGGCAGCTGTCCTTGTTTCGTGTGTGAGAATGTCTTACCTATATGAAGGCATGCTGCCAAATGTTAGAATCTTGTTCACACTTTCCATGGCAGCCTCCTCAGGGTTATGGTTTGGCCCTTTGCCAGCATAATTCTTCGTGGGCTTTTTCACATATGGCGGGTCATATTTCGGCATTGTGCTCTTCCTTCTGGGAGAAAAATTAAAACAGAAAAGAAAGAAAGAAATAAATAAAGAAAAAAGAAAGCAAGGTAGAAGGAAATAAAGAAAGAGCAAAGTAATAGTCCACATAATTATAAAAACATTTTTCAAGGATGTTTTCATATTTTAATAAAACTCTCCACCTCCTTATGGAACTATTAAGATGTATAACACTCAGACAAATGAATCATACATAGACAAGAGGTGAATTATCAAACATACATGAAATATTGAGAAACAAAGATACAGTTCACTAATTAATATACCTTACAACAAAGAAGTTTGTGCAAGTCTCAACATATTCTACTTGAACCAAATTAAAGTTGAGCTGCTTGAATATTGAATAAATAAAGAGAGCTTGAGTTTCATAGAATACTTATTCATTAAGCAGTATATAACAAGAAATCCATGAATGAACCTCCACGAGTTCAATATCCAGTCCAATTTGGACAACGGAGCAGTGAATTTAGGAATTAGGTATGTATGTATGTATTCAGAGCCATATAAAATATTTAAAAAGTATAGGCCAGGTATGACTATATGTTCTCAGTTACCATTTTCAAAGGTATGTCAGATCAAGTTATTTTGAAAATAATGAAATATTATTATTAATTATTGGTAACTGAGTTTAGGCAAATGAAAAAATTATGTAAGTAAATGATACATTAACCTTCAGATTAAAACTTTCCTTATAGAGTTCATATCTTGAATTAAATGGCAGTAATTAATATAAACTGTGTCCAAATTTTTAAAAACAAGAGTTTTTCCAAAACTGTTGATGATAAAATAAAAGATATATTAAAGAAAACAAAACTTAGGCAATGGCACTGAAGAAATTTAATTGTTATAACATGTGATATGAAAAAGACTTCGGTATGGAACTGTTAGAATATACACATAAGAATAGTGTGTAACTGTTTTATTTATATGCCTGCTCTGTGAATATTATTGTTTTCCACACCAAGGTATTGTCCTCACAAATTTACTTTGGTATGGTATCCCTGGTTTTGGGTCCACTCAGCCACCTATCCCATGGATACTGGGGGTGAAGCTGATCACTCACCTCCAAATAGTGATGAGGTAAAGAATACATGGTTCTATACATTCAGTCTGCATATGCCTTCATGGCATAATGTTTAATCAGTGAAGCACAGGGACAATTTCCCTTACCCCCAAATCATATCATGGTACACAAACCAACATCATATATCTCACATTGGTAAGGAATATGCTTATCTTTGTTGTGAATTGAACAGACACAAGTCTGCAATTGATTTTCTCTGGGTGCCCAGAGCCGCTCTGTGCTGGCTTCCAGGAACTTTAGCTTTTATCATAGTATTTTGCCAGAACTGTTCTGGACAATGTGGAGAAGAGAAAATTCTTGACCCTACCGGGACTCAAACTCTGACTCCTCGGTTGTCCAGCCTGATGCCAGTCAAAATATTGCCTAAGCTCTCCCGGCTCCCTACAGTATATATGTATGTGTGTGACATTATTCTAAAATCATCTTCTTCAGAGACTCTGATAGTTCATGTCTCATCTTTATGACTAAGTCTAAAAACAAGCCATGTCACATACTGTCATTTCAGATAATGGGTAATGTACTATCCAAATACTGGTGATAGAACTTGATCATCTCATCTATTTATATTTGGAGAACTGATGTGAAGAGGAAGAAAAAGGTTCAGTGGACTTGAGTGTTGTTGATATAAATTCTCACGTTGTTCTGAAGCCTTATCATTAAAATACAAGTAAAACACAAGCACAGAAATCCTGATATGAAGTCTGTGTTTTATAATCCAACAACTACAGCTCAATAAAGAAAGAATGAATGAAATGTAGATGTAATGGAAATAACGTTTCTTTTTAGCTTTGTTAGTATAAATATGTGCAAGCTGCAGAAAAGCTGAATATCAGTTCTCCTCGACCTGCTTTCCCTCATTCGCAAGCAAGGAACAAACAGGCCTAATGTCAGTCACCACCTGCAAGAGCTTTGAAATTGTTAATATTTTGGCAGCAGGGACATGGCTATGCAATTTGGGCTGCCAGCTGCAGACATAAAAAGATGGGAACCAGCAGGTCTGCAAATTTGTTTCAACAAAAACGCATATAAGGACTGTGTGATGGAACAGTAGTTCGTAAGTGACACCAATGGGTACAATGGGTGATAGAAACATAACTCTTAAAGTCCCATAGTAGATACTTGCGACAATTAAGATTTTTATATAAATAAATATAAGTGACTACAGTTACATGCTTAGTTTGAATTTAGGAATGCAGGTAAGAAAAACCAGACTGGAGTTCACACTTTTAAGATATAACTTCAAAAATTATGTAAGAAAGAAGGGTGAATATGAAGTTGAGTTTAAACACTGATAACTATACAAATGTGATAAATATTTATGAACTAAAATTATGGGCCATGGTTTTACCAAATACAAAGTGAAACTGGAATAAACTGAATGCTGGCACCACGTATTCAGAATTAACATTATTCTAAAATGAACACTCAGATGCACAATCTAGTGTCATTTATACCATTCAAGTATTAAAACTGGGGGTACTTAGTGATGTAGTTGGTTGAGTTATTATGCTACAAGCTTGAAGGTCGCGAGTTCAAGTCCCAATGAGGTGGATTTTCTTTCCATTTGCTTAATCCTTCCAGCCACACTATGGGCCTCGGGTCGACTCAGTCTCTAACAGAAATGAGTACCAGAAATCTTCCTGGGAGTAAGGAGCAGATTGGGCGTAAGGCTTACAACCTTACCGCTATCTGTGAGCCAATTGTCTAGACAATATTTGGGAGCCTCACTGTCTCACAACCCTATGGGCCTTCACAGCCTGTTACAGGGATAGCTTTACCTCATTTTTACCTATTACCTACATAAAAACAAAAATCACCCAATAGCCATAAGAATATTATGTCTGATTAGAGGTTTAATACATCAAAGATTCTGATTCCAATATATTCCATTCATAGGTTTCATTGGAGGAATGTTAGTTCTATTCATCTATGTAGCAAGATTAGCATCAAATTAAATGTTATCGTTATCAACAAAAATAATAATAACATCAATAGGAGCAGTGTTACCTTTACCTTTACCAGCAATAAAATCTACGGAAATTTTTCAATAAATCTCATAAAGTAGGTGAAAATATTTAGGATTTTCTTAATTTCCATATACTTTTCACGGCTGCAATATAGAGCAATGCGGTGCCACAGTATTGAGGGAGAAGTGAATTATAGCTGAGGTTTTAATGCATCCCATATGTTTGTTATTCTGCATATATTTTTTCCATATTTAGTCTCTATAGTATCAGGTTTATCACAGCTTCATCTTAAATGTTTCTGTTATTAGTTAAATAAAACAGAATTTTCATGTTTACAATTTAATGCATGGAGCTGCAGGTGATAAAGCAAAAAGTAAAATTTTTTGTGCTAGAGCACCAGAAAGGTAAAGATGTATTCATTCTATTATTTATCAAGCTTTCTGGGTAGACCACAGCTGTCGGATTGTGACACCATTTCCACTGGCATGTTCTATGGCTCATATATGTGCTCCAAGTGAAGAGCAGCATAGGCCACAGTAATGTATGCACTCAATTCTCCAAGCAAATTGGATGATACAAACTGCTAATAGTATGATTAGACTGAGACTACTGATGTTCAATGATACTGACTACATACCCTATGCATCTTTGACACTGCCCTTTTCCTAGGCAATGTTGGAAACTTTCAGTTATGTAAGAAGCATTAAAGTTACAAGTTGTGGAGGCACACTGGGAAGCAGCGTTCTTGCAAAATGTGTTTTGTAACAATCACCATCCATCTTGTCATGTTCATCAGTGATACTTTCTTTGCCTAGAAACACATATTTTGCATTTGGCATGAATCTGTTTTCTTTCACACAATACATTATTGTAAAATATGGTCCACAATCTGCATAAGTCTTTAACCGAGCAGAGAGTCCTGCCTGGATAGCTTGTTTTGGAGTTTTAGTTGCCTATCTTGCCATACATTTAACACTGCAATCCCTTTACTCAACCAGGATTCTTCAGTTAACACAATATTTCGTTTTTCACTCCTGCATCTTTTAACTTGTCTCAGATATTTCTGATGTCAATAGACTAACTCATCACTTTCTATAAGAATGGTTTCATTTCCCCTTATTTCATAAACAAAATGTATTTAGAATAATGCGAAAAGTCAATCCTTTAAAATGAGGTTGATCAGGACACTGTTCATATCTGCAAGTGTACAGTTCAGTATTGGCTTTCTAAAGAAGAAATCATGAAATTTAAACTTTACCCCACTTCTGCCTAAATCACTGAATTTCATACATCTCTCCTTTCCCGCTTCCTGGCCCTTGTTCTGTTTCCTTTCAATTTTACAAACAGGCACCCCTGAGATGTGGCTTGTATATCACTTTCACTTCCAACCCACATAATACTTCACTTATTATTTTTTTGTTTTTGTGTAGGTAATAGGCAAAATAATAAGGTAAAGCTATCCCTGTAACAGGCCGTGAAGGCCCATGTCACACATTTTCTTCAGACAATCGGCTCACAGATGGCAGTAAGTTTGTCACCCTTACACATCAGACACCCTTTACTCCCCAGGGTGGTACTCATTTCTTTTAGATGCTGAGTTGACCCCAGGGCTGTGCAGCTGGAAGGATTATGTAAATTTAAAAAATCCACCTAATTGCCATTCAAACCTGCGACCTGCATAGTGCCTCAACCAACTATGCTACCACACACAATTTCTGAAGTTGTCTGTTTACAGTATGTCACTATGTTTTATTTTTACACCAGAAGCTTCAGCTATTTCTACTGATTTATCACGGCAATTCACAATAAGCTACATATTTTGAAATGGAGCAAAAAATATATGGTAAATGTTGAAGTAAAATGATTTATGTATTTTATGGCAATGCTATACTGTACTGTACTGACCATGATGGTTGAATAAGTGTTGACATCAAT